TCAACATTTATAATTTCCAGTATTTTTTAAAATAATCAGACGAAAAATTAATAAAAACTAGGGATTTCTAGGCAAAATCAGTTATTGACAAAATCGACTAACTCTTAAGGTGTAATTCAACTACAAAAACCGTAGATACTTGAAATGTGGACCAAGAATCAAGATATGTTTAATAGGTAGGAATTTTCTATTATAAATAGTTTGAGCGATATAAAGACTTTTGACATTTTCGATTTTTTTTTTTTATAAATGTCGATAAAAAATGTTTGTCTAAGACTTTGAAAATTAACAAAGTTCTTTTTAATTTTTTCACATGACAAATTACAAATATCAAAAACCTGTGGTAATAGTATTCTTTTTAAAAAAGTTCGAAGTTAGAACTTATAAACAATTTGTCAAAATCGCTAAAATTTGTAAACTACTTTGTCTACTTCTCCTCTTTAACTACATTTATCTCATCACCTAATTTAAGCTTGTAACATTTAAGGCACAGTACAAACAATTTGGTAATAGTATTATATATCTACATTACATTTTCTGAAAGTAATGCTAATTTTTTAAATAATTAGTGTTTTCACTAATGGTTTAAAATTTTAAATAATTATGATTGTTGCTAGTAGTGCGGTACTTCTTGCGTGTATTGAGTATATACGATGTTTAAGTTTATCTAGCAATCGAAACTCTATGGTAAATATAAGCTCAGCAAAAACACCTATAATATATTTTAGTTATGACAATAAACCTTTATCTTGATTGGAATTTCAAAACAATAGAAGTTTTCTGGGAAAAAAGTCCCTACATATTGTGGGAGAAGCTTATTATTATATTTTATATTATAACCTATAATAGGAATTACCAGTCTTCTTTGTCAGACAGGTTTTGGGGTGCATTATTATATGTTTTATTCTATAGACGGTTTTACAGTTTTGTTTTATTTATTGTCAAAGGTTAATTCAACAGGACCTACCTACTTTTTTTATTTGAACCATTGTTAGACGGTGGGCACTATTAAGTATTAGACGTTCACGATTATAGTATTAGTAGTCCTGCGATAGTGACGTTTAATTACAAAATAATCGCTTTGTTATGAAAATAAAATGTAGTAAAATATACAAAAATAATGACTTTTATGACTGTTTCATTAAAATTTTTTTCGTATTTTATAGTTGCCTGTCAATACGTGCATAGTTACTGATGCTTAAAATAATTTATGTTTAACATATAATATGCGTCATATCGTAGAGGTTCTCTACGCTAACTCCATCGACGATTAGGGCCATAATTTTAAAAATTACATTTTATACCTAGTTGGAACTAGAATAAGATGGAAATAATAAATATCGAGCAGCGCTTGTTATAAAAATATTTAAATTAGCTCCTATTATGTTATTCATACCTATATACCTACTATAGTTTGATATTATAACCTTTACTGATTCAATTTATAAAATATGAATGTATAATTAATTATTTAAAACTGTTGTAAAATATTATATTAGTATATATCTCATAAAATATTCATGTGTATATTATTCTCATTAATCAGCAACTGATTACGAATTCACGTAACACGTATTACCTACTTACCAATATCCAATCAAAATATGTTTACTTCATTGACGTTATGCAACACTATCGAAAATATGAAAAAAAAATAGCAAGTTCAACCGAAAGTCATGCTTCATAAATACTCATGTATTATTATTCATGTTATAATATACTTGAATATATTTTATTCAAAATATCTAAGGTGTGTTAATATTAGACTTATGTATAGACTTTTTATTGTCTGCATTGTTGTGTTGTTGTGATTTGAGTACCAATAACTAGGTTTATTTAGTACCTATTTTATATAGTATGAAATATTATACTGTGTATCTATTAGATGCCTACTCGTTTAACGCAACACAGACATTTTTTTAAAATAAAAAATGTGTTAAATACTATAAAACTCAAAATTTGACTTATATTGAGTGCACTGGGGAGTAGCAAAAGTAAAAAAGTAATTTTTTCACAGTAGGCATAGCTGAAATGATTGGGTGGTGACACAATGCGATTGTTATCCTCGCCAAAATACCTGTTAGGTAAAAATTTGATGATAAGTTCATATGCAATGTATCATAATTACCAAAACTGTTATTCTTACAAAACCTATAAGACTGTCTTACAGAAATTATTTTTCTTCTAATTTTCTTATTAATAAAAACTTGTATAGGAGCTAAACCATCTCATGTATGAGTTATTACGAGTACATCTATATAAGAAATGGTATAAATACACGATTTTTTTATCTAGAGCAGACATTTAACCTTTACATTTTTAAAAAAAATATTTAAATATGAATTTATATAATTATGAATTACAAGTTATAATACTTATCTAAGACAGAATAAATTTCCAAATATTTCCATAGCTTTGATAAATTATAAATATGTACTTTTGATCTTTGTCATTTGAAACACTAAAAACACCTACTATTAAAATTATAAGTAATACTTAAAACAATTATTTTAATATTCAAAATAAAATCTAAATGATTTTTCAAATAAGATATTTAATTCATAATTGATAGAAAAAAAATAACCAGATAATCTGACATAAATGTACTACATTTCGAAAAAAAATTTATATCTCTTTTTTTATCTCTAACTAAAAATATTTAAGCCTTTGTTTATATATAATTATATATAATTTGTTGTTGTAAACGCTTTGGATACCAGTTTGGATATTACATAATATAATATAGCCACACAGTACTTTAATAATTCTTATGGATGTTTTATAAAATGTTGTGATTAGAATTATTGATTAATTATTGATTGAATTATTGATTATGAAAAATACTTGATTTAAACATAACATATTATATTTTTTTATTATTTTAAAAGTATTTTTCATTTTTTAAAAAAAGACAATGATCAAAAAAATAAATCTAATTTGTTATATTTGTGCAAGTATTTGGAAATGTATTCTGTTTTAAGACAAATGGAGACATAAGACAAAAATAATTTCATAATTAAATAATACATTTTTAATAAGCGCGGTGGAGAATGTCAGCATTAAAAAATGTATCGGGAGAAGATACTTCACTGAAAACAGCCAGGGAGAAATTGTCCGAGATTAGTGATTACCAACTTTTGTTGTAGTTTGCCGTTCCCCAAATTAAATATATATCACACTCTAGTCGGGTTAAATACATTTTAAAATATTACTTTAAACATTGCTAAATGAGTGCTAAATGTACAATAAAATCAACAAAACATGGAAAAATTTGAATTTTAAAACTGAGTTAGGCACAAGTTAAGGGTAACCGCTACACGTTCAATTAAAAGCGAAATTAGTATAGGTACTATAGGTGCGAGTATCATAGTCGTAAATCACATAAAATAGGCCTATCAAAATCAGCAAAATAACAAAAGTTTAAAATTAAAACCAAATACCTAATACGAAATGATGCGTATGCACATAGTCGGTCTATTTTATTTAATCTATTTTAACTTTTAAACAGAAATTAAAAATTCGTTTATTATATTGTTATTTCATAAAATGTGACCATTTTGGTAAGAAAAATAGACTTTCACCTCCTCAACCAGCAAACTACTGTTGCCTGGAGCCGCATCAATTATGTTGAATTGTGCTTTTGGAACTGAATCCGAAAATCAAAACCAGAACCTTTACTTAAATATTTTAAAAACTGGAACTGATATTTTGAGATTTTTGTTATGTTCTACTGGATTTATTTGTCTTGTTATGTTAAGATTTTCAGTTACGTAGAAATGTTATTGTATTTTATAATAATCTGTATAAACAATAACAGACTTTTGAACTTTGAAGACCGGAATCAATTTCTCTGTTCTTTTAGGGGCCAAACCAGAAAAAAAAATATGTACCTAGGTGGTAGGTAGGTACGTCATGATATTATATAAGTGACACGTGATTTTGTTTTGACTATGATATTTATTTTTATTTCGTAGGTCGGAATCGATATTATACAATAAACTTCGTACTGCAATAATAAACACTGTGCCACAGATAGTGCATTAGAGATAGCTTTCTCTAGTCTTTTTTGTTCGTCGATCTAAGGTCTTTGAACTGAGTTTTATTAGTAAGTAGGTACGTATATACCATAACTAATTCGTCTGTTATTGGCGTTTATGTATTTCCCACAATGTAGGTAAATATTATTGTATAATAGAGGTTTCCTAAATTATGATGATAATAATACCTAACAAAATAAAAATAACAGTATTTCAATGTTAGGTGGCAAAATGAAGGAAATTTCGTGATGAGGTCCCAAGCACAAAAAAAAAATAGCACCCAGACGCTTTTACATAATTCAGTAGTCAGTAGATATATAATTGTGAGGTCCACGTATAAATGTTATTATACAAATAATATGATATGTGAATATTTAATTTATCCGTCCTCGAATCGTTTTAGGAAGTGTATTCATCAGTATCAGTTGCAATAGTCTTAAATACGGTACATTGTATTAATTGCAATTTTAATCAATCGACATAATATAAACGACTCATTTATATAAGATAACTCAAGGAAGATAATTGTATATCATATAACATATTATACATCATAAATCTTGACCCGTTAACTCATTATTGCAAATGCAAAATACATTTGATAAAAATAAAGTCTTACTCATAAATAATTCGCATTAATTTAAAGTAATGCAAAAACACGTAGACAGGCTGCAGGGTAACACCTCGGATGCATTATCTATTACAAGTATTTTAATTAATCTTTAGGAAACGCTCAGATATTATTAATACCTATATAGCCATGAGTATATGTGTATAATACTTGTAGTGCATATGATATGAATCAATAATGCGAAAAAATGAGCTTAAATTTATAATTCAATACTCATATTAATGTACTTTAACTAAACTGTTTCACACTATGGTGGTTCATATGGCATGTAGGTGCCTATACTTAACAATTATTATAACATTCACATTAACGATTTTCGTCTGATTTTAAAGATAACCGATGTCGGCCATTTTCGAGCCGTGATCCGGCACGTGTACAACGGACAGGGCGTACTCGGATTTTGGCGTGGCAACGGGCTGAACTTGCTCAAGTCGTCTCCCGAGTTCGCTATCAAGTTTAGCGTGTACGACTATACGAAAAGACAGCTGAAGGCATCCCGGGATGACGGCCACTTGAACGCCATCGATAGATTCGTTGCCGGTTCGACGGCTGGTGTGGTCGGCCAGACGTTCCTGTACCCTCTCGATGCACGTAACTCATCTATTATTACTTTTTTTATCTATGCATTTTTGATATTTTATTACAATATTCTGAATAGTTTCAATTGTATCATTGACGTTCTTCGAGTAAACGAATAGAGGTATGCAGACTAATGCATATATCCAAGAAATAGATCAAATAGATTTATTGTAATTTGTTGTTTAAATTATCAATCAAAATTATGCATTGAGTTTATAAGAACTTACGAATAATTATAATTAGCAATGAGAATTTGTATTGTGTTATTTAATAATTAACTATTTGAAGCGTACAAAGCAGTTACTTCAATATGTATGTATAATGTATATATTATATTTATATACATTATACATAGTATTATTATTATATACGTGTTAAATAATATACTATGGATAGGAAAACATTTGTTATCTCCGTCTTACAAGTCCCTAATATACCAAATTTACGCTTAGCAGATAACATTTGGCTTCGTTATTTTGAAAATTAGAGTGAACTTGATGATAAAATCATTATCTGTGTTTGTACGTGCGTTTTTTATGATAATTCAGTTTTTAAGAGAGTTATGAGCATTTTTAATTTACGCTACATTATATACTATAAACTATCTGAAAAATTGAGCTATCGTAAAAAAAAACGCATTTACAATCACAGATAATGTTGTTACCTTCAAGTTTGATAATAAGTGGATTCACTCTAATTTTCAAACTAATGAAGCTAAACGTCATCGGCTGAGTGTCAACTTGTTACATACTTGTAAGACCGAGACAACATAATAATATGTTTGTGTAGCGCCTTCTTAAGAATATTATAATACGACCCAATAGTAATCACATTCAAATAAAGCTCAAATACATTTTTATACATTAGATAAAATATTATAAAACTGGCAGATACATTTGGACGAAAATGGTATCCTTTCTAATTATTGATCCCGAGTGGGAAACTGTTCGTGGGAGTAAACGGCAGTGGGATTTGGGAGGAAAACAGACACACCCTAAAAATCAATGACGAAATTTCGGGTGTTAAAAAGCAGTGTATGAACTTGGTATTAAATTATTTGACTTTTAACGTCTATTGCATATTCAAACTATTTTAAAAATCGATAAATATATATAATACCAAAACTGAACTAAAAAAAAATTTTTTTTACAATTTAAAAATCAATTTCGTCAAAATTTTAACTCAAAATGTCTATTAAAAGATTTAGCATTTGTATTTTTGTAACTTTTATTTTTCTACAAAAGTTACCTACCAACCTTACTTTGTATCATATTTTAAAGACGTAGCAATATGCAATTATTTATATATTTTACTATAAAATATTTTACAAAAATATATTATTCAATACCTATATAAATAAGTATTTTAAATATTTTAAAATTATCATAAGATCAAATTATATGGGATCTTTCATCAAATTATCGATCTTAGTAACCGAATCTAAACATTTTTATCAACAGTTAAAAATAAAATGATTATTTTAAAATGTACAGTTTCATAAAGATCATAACTTACTTAAAAATAATTATACCAGTAAAAGCCTACATGGGGTCCTAAATAATAATTTTATCCATACATTTTATAACAGGTCAATTCATTCTAATATAAACACTAACAGCATACTATTTGGAGAACGATGAGGGTACGACGTCCTGTTAATATTAATACTCCATATTATACAGCTCACGGGGAATAACGTTGATAAATGTCTGTACTTGAATGAATGCAGTGTGCGTATGATAATTGTGTATATTAGTATTAATAGGTAATTCACCAGAGGTATTCAAACTTTTTCATCTGGTGGGTTCTTCAGTGTGTCCACAATAATATTGTCAAGATATTATGAAAAACTTGAAACAATACGGATACAATATATTATTGCTAATACGGGTAATAATAACAGTGACTTTATAGTACTAAAAAGTAGAAATAAAACTTCTAAATATGATAGGTGATGTGTTTTTTTTATCGTTTCCACAATCACTTTAATGATTATAAATAATATCATTTTATTAATTGTTATGACCTACATTAATTTTTGTTTTTGGAGCTTTTATGTTGCGTCTTTCGCCACCTCTCGCTATGTTGGCCGTGGGGCAGACAAAAAAAAAGAGTGCGCTGACGTCTTTTTCAGTCTTCAATTGATCAATAAAGCTCATTATAATTAGCTTTTTGAAAAATGTTAATAAACAGTTTTTAAATAAGCCAAAAATAAACATGACGTGTTGTATATTATAAGCCAGTAAATTGTGAACACAATATTATAAATTAACGATCAGTTCTTATAACGTTCTTATAAAGTTCTCTTGGATATACTGTGAACATAACCCATTTTAAAAATGTGTAGAATGTATTCATAGGGTACGTGTTATTATTACATTATGAATGTTATAGTGTTCATGACCTATATATAATGTTTTCAATATATTAGATTAGACATAATATTTTATTTTTTCGTCAGCCAATGATTTTTTAGATTAAAAATTTAAAAACTATGCAACTATGCTGTCCCAGTTATATCCAAAGGTCACAAGACATAAAAAATAATAATCATATTATTGTGTTAGATACGCATATCAACTATTTTAGTAGTTAATTTATATAAATAAAAGAAACTCCAGAGTTAAGATTGAGCATCTCTATACCATATTTGTTGTGTTATTCGTAACCCGTAGCTCTTTATAACTAAATGATGTTGTTTTCAATATTTAGTGCATATTATACCGCTAAATCATCTTAAGGATTTTTCTTTTTTTTAAATCAATATGTACTCACTTTCTTATAATGCATGAAATACACAAAACAATGTTCTACTAAGGCATAACGCCATATTATATTTATGTCTGCAAGGAGGTGTAAAATAAAATATATGGATAACTTTACTTCTCTCCGTTATAATAATAATCTACATAATAAAAACTAAAAACTGTCCGTTTTGTCGAGAACGACTGGACCGATTTGGCTTATTTTTTTTAAATATTCGAAATATCCCGAAGCTTTTATGGAAGGAAAATATGCAAAAGGTGCCTGGAAAAATTGAAAAAATTTTGGAAAACTAAAATGCCTTTTTTCAATGCGATTTTTCTATAAATTTGTTTCTGTTTAATGGCTATCAGTGATGACATATTATTATATAGCCGTAGTAGAAATGATCTTTTATTCTAAAAAAATGGTTGCCACAGGTTACACAAAATATAATTGATCGAATATAATATTTTTTTTTGTATATAACAGTTATAGCCATGTGACTCATTGAGATTTGGATTATGTAACTATCTTATTATTTTCAATCCCTAAACCTAGATAACTAAAAGTATGATGAACACATGCATTTTTTTAATTTGTGCAAATATATTTTTATAAAAACAAAATAAATATTTGGCTGGGTGGCAACGCCGCGTGGGACAGCTTGTAGGTAATCAATAAAAACACGACTGCGCTTTAAACATCCATGCGATCTGCGCTGCGCGTCGTCTCGTACAGGCTCAGGATACGCAAAGGTATATATATATATTATTTTACTCTCGATTCTCGAAAATCAATAGAGGTACTCTCCAGAATCAAAATACACATTTGAAATTTAAAATTATAAAATAATATTTTCTCATTTGTATAGTCTATATTTTCGCTGTCGTTTATGTGTTTCCATTTATGTAAGTATAAATTATAATAGACTAATGTCGGGTATCTACTGTCCAAAAAAAAATAAAGTTAAAAAATCAAAAAACTATTAATATTTTATAACTAGAAGTTAACTAAAAAAATGTTTTATTCATTAGAGATAATATGTACCTATATCAAATATTGTACTTGAAAAAAGATCGTCTCTTTTTAAAATTACAATTTACAAAAGGACGATTAATTGTGTCATAGATATTTACAAAGCCGTAACAGAAAACTACAGGTGGAGGGGGTCAAATATTTTTTAATACACTACACGTCACATTTTTTACATTTGAATGTACGTTTTTCTATTTTTTTAAATAATTATTTCAGGAGGGTGTTCTGAATGGTCCAAACTACTAGACACGTAGTACCCTAGCAGGAACCTGAATAGCTGCCTTCGGCACCTAGATAATTCAAGGAATATTTGACACCGCGTAAACCTCGTAATGGAGGTATACTATTTTGAATAATATTTACTCCCTATTAATCCCTTACAGACTTTTTTCTCTATATTATACCACCAATACAAATAATTTTGACTAAATTATGATAAAACTGTTTGTTATAGCCTAGTAAATAAATATTTCAATATTAATATATTCGTCGCACTAGATCATGGTAATTTTGTTCTAAAAAACAATAAATTTAATATATTATGTTCGTAATAAAATAAATAAATTTAAAATAAAAATAATAATAATAGATAATATTACCTACACACAATATTACCAGCTATCACTGAAATAATGATATTATTCTGTATTTTTCACTATCAAACCTGTCGGTGTTTCTCTTGACTGTTAACGTCTATGTACATGTTATATGTTACAAAAATAATAGTTAATACCTATTATATAATTATCTACTTACAACTATATAAGTATACTATATTTTAAGAGGAACGTCAGATTTAATAACGTTATTACTTTATGAGAAAAAATAGCTTAGAAAAAAAAATGATATGATTATATGAGAGTGTAATATAACACATACTCCGACGTATGAGTATGAAATAAGACATCTGACATTTGTCCGCCTCATCTGGGCTTAGGTTTGATCACAACATTTCGAGGACAGTTCAAATCCGGCGTTCTTAATACCTTCTATCACCTATTGGTCTACCTACTACAAACGTCATAACCAGTTCGTGGTAAACATATTATTTTAATTCGATAATATTATTTGTATTGCCAAGACATTCAAAAGATATAAAAATATCCCATTTGCTGACATATTTTAATGCATCAACTTATTAAGATACCATATGCCTATTCAGCTGAAGTAACAATTGAAAAAAAAAACTATAGAGGACAATCGCCATGTCCACAAGTTCCTCCCTCAAATGTTAAGCTACAGTAGTTTTATTATTATATTATTATGTTGAGGCATACATTCATGAATATGATGAAAATTACAATAATTGCAACAAATGTTATCCTTGTTGAGTGTTGACTCCATCAATTGCTCCTCAGCCAGTACTGCAGACAATCATATTATAGTCGTACGTTCCTATAAGTATGAATTGTGATTTATAATTATTTTACTTGTAATAAAATAATACTATAAGACTATTATGGCGTTATATATTGCTGCTGCAATCATCGTACTCAATGCCGAAACTTATTATGTTTTGCTGAGTGTGTGCGTGTGGAGGGAGGAGGCATTTTATAATTTTTGTCTATTGACATTTTGTGAGGTTTTAGTAGTGTTTTTGATCAAGTGCCTCAGCCCCCACTACACTCATATTTTGCCTATACCTATGTGTACAATCTATATACCTACCTAATATAGCTATGTAGCTTTAATATATATTTTTGTTAACGCACTTCTCGCTATGATTTAAGATTTAATTTCAGTTTTATGTCCATTGACGTTGCTATTTAATGTACAGACATTTTCAAAAAGACCCGAAGGTCATTTTATTTATTTATTTTTTCATTACATGAACACACTATATTAATATGTACACCGTTACATTGATATTAGTGTATTATAATACCATGGGCCATGACACATTATGAAGAATATGACGTCTACACATAATATTAGTTCATCTATCTACTATTATATCATAATACCTACCATTGCAATTAAAAAATAAAAGAGCTACATAGTCTTTAGATAAATTCGCTTTGTTATCACCACGTCCAAGGTTATTTTTTAACGTTTAATGTACACGCAGCTAACGGATGCGATAAACATATTTTTTCTTGTTATCGTCTTATACATGTATAACTTTTGACCCGTACAACCGTAATTACATTTTATTTTTCATGCAACATTGAGACTGAATATACTGCAAGAGTGAATTAGGTATTATATACATATAGTATGTACTAAGGAAGTGTAACACCGTCATTATATTACCATTACGGCATTATACTACGCCGCAACTATACTATATTATAATATTAGAATGAATAGGGTAAACTTTAAATAGTAACATTTGCATAAGTACTGAGCTGCATGCCTGCATATAAGGATAAACAATAACATTTCCTTCCGATTTCCTTACTCATTTGATATGAATCCGTGAAATATATATTATATTAGTTATATTGATTATTATATTGAATAATATGTTCTGCATTGAGGCTGACTGAAAGACTCAATTAGGAAGCAGCATTTTATTTGTATCATGACTTTGTTACAAGTAAATAATGTATATTTGAGTGTGTTGTGGGGTGGTGGTGGTGCTAAGTACGTAAATATGAAATTGCGTCATTTAAAATTGAGTTCAGTCTATCAATGAAAACTCATAATATAGCCATAAGATACTTAAGAGCCTACTGATCAGTCAAGACAATCATGTATGAGTATGTCACTGTATGTGTATTGTACAACTAATATTTTATTTCTATATAGACTCAGTGTATATCCCGGCTGAAAATATGAAAATGGCGAATAATAATAAAAAAAATGTTCAACTTGAGTCTTACAGTCGACCGTCGAGTGTATAGTTATAATAATGGTTATAGGTTAAGTATAGTATTTAAGTATTATCTAAATCTCAATCTCTGTTCTGTAGGTACAATAGGTACATACCTCATATACATACCTACACAAAAGGTAAGAAAGCATCATTAAAAGCGCTTAAACATCTGCTTCATGAGTTAATTATAATAAACTAAAATTTAAATTAATATAAAAAATACTATGCCTATAAATTAGACCTAGTTGTATACAGTTTTCAATAAAGTCAAATTCAAAAGCGTGTTTAGTCAAAAATTCTGAGTAAAAAACAAAACTTTTATTTAATTTTGAATAATATTGTTTTACTGAATGCCCATAAAAAATGCCCATTATTATACACAAAAGCATCACAAGAATATTTTATTAAACATAGCGTACTCAAATATTTATTATTCATATCTTACTATTCCATAAACACGATACGGAGTAATAAGCAATAATATAAAAAATTATACATAATAAAGAATAAAACCAAACATAATTTACTAGTTTTTATTTTAACTAATTTCAAATGTAGATGGGGAATTTAGATTTAATAGTTTCTTTGTTTTACTAACAATCGTAACATTGATGTAAAATTCTTTTATATTTACAATAATCTGAATTCTAAGTCATATATTTCAAATTAAGTTAAGAACAAAAAAAAAAACTACGACAAATATATAAAAAATAATAGGTACCTATATATTTTTATTTTATTAAAAACATCTCGAAAAAGAATCACGAATGAAGTAAGTTTTAAATCGAAACTAGTTTTTCTTTTAAGAATAATAGATTTAATTATTTTCTGATAAAGCAATTTTAACGTTTTTATCAGTGTTTGTAAATTATTTCCTTGATAAAACTATAATATAGAATACGGATTCGTGGAATTAAACAAGACCGAAAGTAAAGAAAACAACATAAAAGAACATTCATTACAACTTCTATTTATTTTTTCTTTATTATTTCCTCTCCCAAAAACGATTAAAGTAAACAGCCTTTATTTGACATGGTACTCACAAAAGATCAACATTGAACCACGTATTCCACATAGTCTAAAAGACAACTTTTTTTGACATTCTTTATTGGATAATTAAATTTAGATTTACATTTTAGACAACATTTTTCATTTGCCGTTATGCTCTTTTCTCGACTCCAATTTTACTCATTATACGAGTATAGTTCACCAAACGCTGTTTGTAATTTTAATGTTTATATCATCTCTTATAATTTATAGATCTAGGAGATAGTTGGTCGAAAATATTTCATCAAAAACAATTCGTCAATAACACTATTTGTCAATGTTTTTTTTCATTAATAATAAAAATATTTGATATTCTTAATTTCAAATAAGGATTTTATTTATAGCACTTAAATTAAATAATATTTAATTAAGCAATAAAAAAAATAATATTTTTATTAATTATCGTCAATAATTTTCATAAAAAAGTATCTGTATATTTTAAATGAATGAAGTATACATTAGGTATGTTTTCTGTAATCATAATTTCATTTCATTTCAACCCCTAAAACAATACATTTTCAAAACAAACCTTTTGAAAGAAGTATTATTAGACTAACTTTTTTTTTGAGGAACTGTAGATTTGACCATATGAACATTTTTAGGAAGTCACTTGTCCGGATGTGCCATAAATTATAATTGATGTTCATAATTATCTTAAAAAGTTAGATTTTAGTATTACTATATTATTATCGTTATTATTTGAATGTAATAGTTGGGATAAGTGAAATAAGTTATGATGTTGTTTTAATTAATTATGGACGTTAAGAAATACGTAGGTACTGCGGTCTGCGGACAACCTTGCCATGTACTGTTTTATTATACCTTTACAAAAGACAAAACCAATTATTTATATTCAATATCCCTGCTTGGACGTAGGGTACCTACCAAAATCCAATTATTTTTGGGATGTTTTTTTAAAAAATATACTGGGGGAGGTATAGAAAAAAAGTATAAAACCAATCAAAATAATAAACAAATAATTATAAACAATAATTACAATAAACTATAATAAAAGCAATTATAATAATAATAATAATAATAATAATAATAATAATAATAATAATAATAACAACAATAATTTTTCCTCCATAGACTGTAAAAACGCGTCTCGTTGTTGGCAAATACACAAATACCATGGACGTGGTGATCAAAACTTACAAAAGTGGAGGCGTGTGGGCATTCTTTAAAGGTTTTTGGCCCGGTACGCTAAGCATTTTCTTGTTCGCCGGCATTGATCTTACGACTTACGAGCATATCAAGGAAAATTATTCCCACTTTCGCGAGAAGGACGACTGCCCGAGGTGGGTAGTTAACTTTTACTCAGCATTTATCTCGAATGCCGTGGGCGTAGTGATATGTTATCCGATATCTACGGTCATCACTAGACTACAAGTCGACGACGGTCAGTATTTAACAATAATTGTGATACTAATATTTAGACTGCAGTGAAATCTCTTCATTAAATATAATATTGTGATACCTATGTAAAATATATAGTACATATAAATACTATTATATGGGTTCTATGTGTTCACTGATTTAAGGAACAATCAATTTCAAAGCCAAATTACATTGGATTGAAGAGTAACTTCATGGCAATTAAGGTTTAATACGAATACTTCAAATTGTTATAGTGACAGTTTGCATACACAGTTGGTTTGGATAGGTACACAGTTCAATATATTTTTAATTTTTAACGTATTTAAATAACAATAACTACCTAGTACCTACTATTATGTGTTGACTTACTTTAAAAGTAATTTTGGTCGTGATAAAGAGACACAATGCTACACAACTATATATAGCTCTAAAATCAAAATTCACCAAATAAGAGCCATTTAAAATTGAATCATAAATTAACCTTTTTGATAGTTTAAATATTGAAAAATGAATAGGTCGTTTTGAACATTTCTTGTTATTGAATTATTATTATTTATATAACTTTATAATTTATTGTTCTAATTGTTATATTTTAATAAAATATTTAACACTATTACATAAAAAAATAATACTTAAATACATTTAAAATAATCCAATAACTCTTCGAATTTAAATATTTTTATAAATATTGAAAAAAAAAAATATTTAAAGTTAAATTGTAAACGGCTCTCTTACGTAAATTTTTATTTTAAAGAAATACAATTTTTGAGTTTTAATAACTAAACAGCTGAACTAAATCCATACATGGTATCAAAATAATAGTTGTTGCTATTTAAAAAATTATGACCTGTAACACATGTGCTTACCGGGAGTGTTATTAACTTAAAAATTGGTATAGATTCAATAGTCAAAAAAATAATCAGTACTAGAAATGTAGTGTTCCTTCATTCAGCGAACACGCAATGTACCTAACATATCAAAGGAATTTTAACTTTAAAGTAAAATTGCTGTAAGAGATTTCAATGCGTACCACTGGTACATCATATAAAGCACAATGAAGCTTAGTACCTAAATGTTATACGCCCTATGTAGCTGTCCCATTTCCCTCTAAAGGATCATTGAATACGTCCGTTACACGGATGACAAAACACAATAATCTAATCATATCGCATTGAATACATTTTCGTATATACAATAATAATTATATTAGAGTTTTTTTTTTTACTGCATATAAGCCACGTGACGATAAATATGACAACAGTAGAGGTCAAATCATTTTGAATGGTCCACCATTTTGTACTTCAAATTTTTTATTAGGTACTGCCGATTGAAAGAAAACCCCAGTAGCGGCAGTAGGTACTTATAATATTTTTGATAGGAAACAGAAATGCGGATATTCTGTATAAATGGTTTAAACTTTGAAGTTCTGATACCAAAAAGAATAATCAAATCTTATTCGTTTGATTATGTTCATACCTACTATGTTTAGGTAAGTAGGTTATAATAACCTACGCACTAGAAATAAAAAGGCATCGTTGCACAACTTTTCCTCACGTTTTCTCATTCATTTATGTACACTTGAAACTAAATAGATATTATACCCACATCCATCTGAAAAACAATTATCAAGCATTTCAACTAATTTAGTATCTCTACAACATTTCTTAACTGTCCCCAAACATTATATTTAAGTTTCTATCTGTTATTTTATAATAAGTGAAATTTGAATTATTTATATAGGTACACTGAAATAATGTTATTTGATAGTGATACAATATTGAAGTACATACCTAACCTACCTATACGGCTATACGTATAGTCGTGCACCTTGTCCATCATATTTTATCAAGCCCACTTAAACAAAATAATTTAGTTAAAAAGTGTAGGTAAAGTAGATACTAATAAAGAAAAGGCTATTTTATATTTATTTTTTTTATAGGAAGTCGTTGTTTTGTTCGTCACGAATAAGATACAAAATAGACTTATTTAATCATAACACAATTATTTAAACAATAAACGGTTTTTGAAAAACCAACCGTTTTAAAATAAATAATTAAACAATAAAACAGTGTGTGACATTGAATAAGGTATGACAAATATAGGTTTATGAACGGTAACTATGAGGTTTTGAACGACGCACAAATTGTGAAATTGGAAGGTTAAAAAAATGAGCATATTAGTTATATTATTGCTTATAACTAAAGACCGGATTTAATTGCATTGAAAACACACACAAATCGTATATTAAAATTGTAAATTGCACCAAAAAATACGTAAGAATTGCATAATAAATTGCACTATAAAAATTCAAATTATGTATAAAAATTAGATAAATGTTACTTTTTTGAATTAAAATTGATAATTTATTATCAATTATCATTTCCAAATTATGTTCATTAAAATTAAATTTTCTATTACTTAAAATATGACGTTTCTACAAAGAAAAACTACGTTTTACGCGTCTACACTAGTTATTGGTGCATGTTTAAAAAAATTCAATAATGTAGGCGTTATATCTAAATTAACGTCTTTTTTAACTGACAAGTGATATAATTTCATAATATTTAATAGTTTTATAGCCTTCATTGTTTTCATTTGCATACATAAATTTGTCTTTAATTTCTCTTGCATCTGGACGAGGAATATTTGTGAAAATATCTTCAATTTTTCTAAACATATTCATACTTTCAAGTAGTTCACTATTTGATGCTTCCAAGTTTTTAAGATTAATGGATAACTCGGATAAGTGTAATTTTATGAATGCTAAATCACATTTTATTGTATTATTTTGAATAAGCTGTTTCAGCTTTTTCTCACTGGTAGCATTAGCTTTTAAATTTTCAATCACATTTTGAAATTGTTCAAAATTATTTGCATAGAAAAGTGCCACATTCAGCTATGTTCCCCACCTTGTAATAATAGGTTTGGGAGGTAAAGGTGTACCCTGCATACGACAGAGTCACTGGTGGCTACGCAGAACATTGTAGGTAGCTAAAACTATCCATATCAGATAATACTTACCGACGATAATAAAATTATGTTTATACCCGTTTATTGATAATGACTCTTAATAACGGCTTTATGCTACAACCATAGATTATTTATTCACAACTGAAACGGTCTGTCATAATAGCGTTTTTATACAATAAATTTAGCTGAGTTAAATATTTTGTTCATTTAAACACACGAAATTGTAAAAAATTGCAACAACATGGAAAATTGCAAAAATTGCTTTATAAAATTGAATACCTAGGTATAACACATAAATTATTTATCGACTATACATTTGAGCAGATTTGATTTATCTTAACTGCAAAAAAAGTTGCGATATCAATTAAATCCGGTCTTTACTTATTACACTATAACTTGAAAATCATAAATAAACGATAATATATAAATATGTATTATTTAAAGTTAAACTATACAAAAGCATATTGTTTAAAGGCATTCGTTTGCGTGGTATGAAATATTTTCAAAATCACGTAGGTATGCTCTACAATGTATGTATAATAAGAACATAATAGTTTGTAAATTGACAATCGACTACTCAAGTAGAATAGGTATTTTTCTATTAATTATATAATATTTAAACCACTCACCAAAAAAATAAAAAAGAATATGACACATTTTCAAAGAAATGAAATAGCAAGTTTCTCCACATGCACAATGCAGCACTTCGGTCCACTGAACATATAGTGAACACGCGAATTATGCGGGAAAGTGTAGTTGAACATATTTGCAACGCTGGTGGCTTTAAATATAATGCTCAGTGAATCACAAATGACTGAAATATTACCCCAGAGCACGCATATTAACCCTTCTCCTTTATAAATACATATTATTGTAGTGTTTCGAATTGAAGGTCGAACGTATTTATACATATTTTTCATTTGTCATGGCAATATTAATAATATATACTCCTAAACTATATTTAATTATAGTCTGGGTGGGACTGGGCCTATTGTTTAGACGTGCGAGCGCACGTAGGCGCTCGATTGTATTATATTATTGTCTACCCTTTTCTAAATAAAAAAAATGTCTTATAATTCACCTATCTATATTTAAATGCATATTGCACTTAACAGTCAACTTACGAAGTCCGTTCCTTCATATCATAATATGTATTATTACCATATAATACTAGGTAACTATTTCATATCAAATTATATTTTTGTCATTACAATTTATAAAGAATCATTTGCTGCTTCAATTGTTCATCTACATAGATTTAGGTTGACTGTACTGTGGTAGGAACGTTTTTTATCTTTTTATGTAATCAATTATGAGTACATCTAAAAATATGAGTTTAAAATTTAAAAACATGTAAAAGTGGTTTGATGAGAAAAGAAAATCGATTTTAAGAATAGAAGCTGTTGATCTGAAGTATGGAAAATTACCTTTTGAAAAATTAAACAAGTTCAAATCTTTTATTTATAGCGTGTATTATTATATTATTATCTGTTGGGTAGTTTGTTACCGACCAACATTGCCCCCACTTACAATTCTGGGCTCCTGTTCTGTATGTTTGTCCGGGCCTTTAAAAAACTTCCAAAAATACAATTTACCATAATATATATAAATATAACAATATTTGGAATAATATTTTTCTTTTAATCATAAGAATTTAAATTCAATGTTCATAGTTAAGGCAGCTGTAAAACCATAAAAAATCAAGATTTATAAGCATTTTAACATAAATAATGTCTTTTTAATAAATAAAAAAATAAAAATAAATAATAGGTAGGTATAATAATCTAATCTCGCTTACAAGTGATAATTTAGACCCAAACTGCAACCGCGATAATTTCTAGGTAATCAATGGTTAACCCGCATTTTGAAATATCAAATTTACTAAATATATAAATATATATGTATATATTTCATAAAATGTTATTTTACAATATTATTTTGTATAAAATAAGTATTTCTACAAAAAGTTTAAAATTACAAATACATTTCAACGGGCCTACGGGCATCTGTACTCAAGGTCTATCCGCCCCTCTTGTGGGGGCCCTGGCTACC